GCTGGGATTTCTAGCAAACACGGCTCCGTGGAATACGTTACAGCTCTAGAACACGTATTTACCAATGTATAGTCAAGTCTATTATTCAGTGGTTGGCAGCTAAAAATAGAGACGGCTAAATATAGAGGACGCCTTCTGGCCTATACTATATAACGGATATACATAAATGCACGTACGTAGTAGACAGAGACGCAAGCGCGCAGTCTTGTGCGTACATCTATACCTAACACACCTACATGCATGTACCGACGAAATACGATCGTTTCGATCATTTCAATAACTTCAAGAATTTCGAGCACGTCGTCGTTTACAATCGAAACAATAAATACAAAGTCCCGTTAAGGCTCTTTCGTCCGTGAGGTGTAGACACAGCAATGTGGCCGACCGATCGGCGACCGATCGGCGAGCGAGATCGAGCGAGATGGAACGATTTATTGGCGCGCTTGTCGATCAACCTCCCATTAGCAGTCGCTGCCGAAACAACGATAAAATCACTATTGTCACTATTCTCGCAAATACCTCAAATTCGCGTCAGATCAAGGAAACACTCGGCGGCTCGAAGTCAATGAATATCGGAACAGTCAATAGATGTGCATGTGATATATCCGGCTATACTATAGTATAGTAAGCGACACGCCTCCAATACCAAGAGTGTGTACCAAAATCCAACTGTATATCCAAGTTTACGAATATTCTAGCGTATTTAATATACGAGCTCATTCTACCCTAGGTGTCGCAGGATCAAATATAAAATGTCTCTGGCAACGATCACTGGGCTAATTCAATTCAATTAATTCTATTGGCAACTGGTCTCTGCGCACACTGGGTTTCCCTGTATCTATGTGTTTACACGAATATCAATATAATTTATAATCATATCATATCATATATATATATATAGTATGTAATAATAAAAGCTATCCATAACTTCAAGTCAAGATCTCTAAGAGAAAAGTAAACACTGGGTATATAATATATATTAGAGACAATGTATGTCAGCAACGCATACCTGCGCATACATATCTATATAGTATACGTATATACAGAGTCGCTATAGATATACGTATAAACTCCCGTGCACGCATCGGTACACGAGAGGATATATCGTGTCTTTACGTGCGATGCGTCTACGTATAGTGTATAGTGTGTATAGTGTGTATAGTGTGTATAGTGTGTAGCGTATGGCTAGGCTCAGGTATCTATCTAATTATCAACTGGTCTAACAATAAGACACCGACAGCCGCTAATACGGTGGTTAATTAATCAAATCGACTAAGATATTAACTTTTAAAAACTGCTTTGCTCCAATTAAGGAAATTCATTAAAGGAAATGAAATTAATCAACCAAAGTACGTACGCATTAACTGTGTAAGAGCCAACACGCATGAGGGTCCTAACGTTATTCATTTTTGCATTAGAACAACCAACAAACGAGGAAAAAAAGAAATTTAAGGGCAAACTATAAGGCTACACTGCTATGAGGTAACAGGGCAAACGAAAGTAAGACGACTGAGACAAAACTTACTAAAAGAGATTTTCGGAGAACTCTGACTGACTCACTTGGAATTTTCGAAACCAGCTTTAGCGGTCTGAGGACCCGGAAGGAACGTAGCATACGCAGGTCGACGTCCACGTTTGTTTCGGCGAACACGGTCATCGACCTAATCCAAGGATCATTCTAGAATCTAGGTGCAGCATCAGCACCATTTTCGCATGTCTTATCATAAGAGTTATTATCCTACTATCCTGCTATCCTACTTCCCTACGATCCTAGTGTCCTACTGTCTCGCTACTAGCGAGAAGGCCTCATTTTCTTCCTTCCGTCCCTTTTCTACGAAGATCCGGGAATCTTCGTTCTCGAACGACGAGAGACGTCGCTCACCTTACGGCTTTCATCTTAAATCGGACCTCGCTAATTTATTCTTTTCTTTTCTCTCTTCACTCTTTTTCTCTTCTTCTTTTTTCCTATTTTTTTTTCGTTCTTTTTTTCAACCACCTCGGTTCATCCTTCAATCGCTCGCCTAGATTGCCTCCGTCGGATGACCCTTTGATAGACGGGCACGCGTGGCACAGAGAGATGGATGGACAGATTATAAGAAAACAGACGGACGGCAAATACAGGGTGGCCAAACAATTGACACAAGTCGCACGTCGCAACTTACCATATGTGCAAATAGTACGGTACAAATGAACTGAGGATGAAGATGATTATACGCAGAGAGTAGAGTGGATGCGTTAAAAAGGAAAGACGCGATTCAGAGTCTTCCCCGTCGTCAAAATTCGCGAAGTCGACCGAGCGTTCGCAAAACGATTGCAAGAGAGAGCATAAGTATTGATAAGAGATCGACGAAGCAGGACGATTTTGGGGAAGTTTGTCGAAACGCGCGAGGACGACTCGGCCGTCTTGCCATCCTGATCGATTAGGCTGATAATATCTTCTTACTCGTCTCCTATTTGTCTTATCGATATCCTAATGAGACAAACAGAGACTTACCCAGTGACCACGACGAAGAAGTCCATGATGTTCCAGATGTTGCGTAGGTAGGAGCCGCGATGAAGGACGAAGCCAAGCGCGAGGATCTTCAGACTCGCCTCGACGCAGAAGATCCCCAGGAAGTAGATCTCCGTGGATTCCAGCTTCTGCGCGAGCGTCGTCTTGTCGTGCTTCGGCAGATGCTCCTCGAGGGCGAGGACCACGCAGTTCGCGATGATGGTCAGCAGGACGGCGTACTCGAAGGGCGGCCATTCGATGATGAAGCGGGTGTGCTTACGTATGCAATTATCCTCGCTCAGGATAAAAAGCGAGGAAGGACCCTTGCTGCCCCCGCCGCCACCGCCACCCGCCCCTCCACCCTGATCCCGGCCTGGCGCCATGACCACCAGACCAGGTACCTACGGAGGAACCAGATCTCTACAATTTTCAATTTTCAAACGATTATCTCTACATCCGTCTCATGCGTCTCATGCGTCTCATGCGTCTCATGCGCATCTCCATCAGGTACAGGCCAATCAGGTCAATCAGGTCAATCGAGCCAATCGAGCCAATAGAACCAATAAAGCGCTTCTCTCACCTCCCCTCCAAAGCTAGCCCAGTCACCGAGACCACTCAGTCCGGCCAACCTCTGCCTTCTCCTGTACTGACTCGCGTATCCAGGGTCCCTTTGTGCCGCCTCTTGTGCTGCTGCCAACCTGCAACAGGAGAAACAAATTCAAATTTAATTTGGCGACCCTTCCAGCTGAGTGACTCTGGCTCCGTTGGCACGCCTGGTCAAGTGAACCCCGATCGCGCCGACAATGCAACCTGCATTCCCGTCTTGCCGCGAGCTACGAGCTGCGAGGCAGTCAGGTTTACTCGTGGCTGCGCTCGATGGTGGTTCTTGGTCGTCATCGACGACGACGACGACGACGCTCGAAAGGAACGCTCCAATTTTCGCGAAAGAGCTCGTTAATGGCCGAGGCTGCGCGTAACAAGGGCTTAATTTAATGCATTATGGCCTGAGGCTTTTGCCGATGGATAGAGCCCGCTTCTGTCTATATCTTACGCTCCCTCACTTGCGCGACCATACATGCACTCATCTACGTGGCTATCGCTTTCTCTCTCTCTCTCTCTCTCTCTCTCTCTCGCTCGCTCCCTCGGAAGAATTTCTCACGTGTCCTGTTAAACATCCATTAGCACAAAAACTGTCAAGCAGATAATTTCTATTTCAAAATGAATAAACGTACCCGAAATAATATTTTTGATCACAGAGATTACGAAAAATATTTTGCTCCGAGTGTTCGTTGGCGGCGAAGACGCTACTGGAAACGTTTATGCATCAGGGACAATATTATCAAAAAAAAATTGGATAATGTTGATTACGAAAATTGTGTAGTTTGCACGTCGAATGGATTATCGTAGTGGCGCTGTAAGCGCATCCCGTACGCGAGCATCGTCGTGTCCCATTTTATTCGTACGCATTGGAAAAAGAGAGAGATGCAGCCACGCTTGCCGTAGACGATGCGATCGCAGCGCCGCCACAAAAATTCACTCGGCGTAAGAAGTAAAAGCACGCGAAAATATCGAATAATTTCAAAAATTGGATCCCTGATGCGAGACGAGTTACGTAAAGCTACGATGCATCCGGCGAGTTATCAATCAGCTGACTGCTGACATGACCTGCTGACTTTGTCAGAGTTCAATGATAAATCAAGAGCGTGTCGCGCCTTTACTATCCGGAATTGTCGCACTATGAGAATTCTGTTAGTCGACCATAGTAAATGGTAAATGGTAAATGGCAAATCGAAGGGACACCAAACCCCTTCGACTGGAGCATTCGGCATTTCGGTGGCTGGCAGGATCCTGTCACTTGGCCATTTGGCCATTTGGCCATTCGAAAAAGTGTATTTGCCAGCCAGTTGAATCGACGCGTGGACGAGGAGGAAGGTTGGGGAATTCCAGCGAATGAAGGAGCTCGTAGGAATCCGAGAGAGGGATAGAGACACGTATAGCCAGCTAGAGAAAGAGTTATAGATAGGAGGAGGATGCTGGAGGATGCTGGAGGATGCTGGAGAATCCTGGAATTATGAGAATAGCGGGGATGTCTGCCAATTTTATCTGTTATTTCCAACTCCTTCGGCTTACGGGAGGCGACCTCGCGGCGCCGTCGGCGTTGGACTTCTCAAAGGATAATTATAATTTGAGCCCTCGATCCATAAATAAAGCCATAAATAAAGTAGAGTCATTTGCCCTCGACTTTTGATTCCAGTGCGCAGGAAGTGCCAGGAGCCTCAAATCAGTAATTCTCTACTTTCGGTACTTTTCTTTTCTTTTCATCAATTGACATTTTCACAAAATTCCTCCGGTTGCCGAACTTCAAGTGGTGAAGTTCAAGTACCTCTGCTGCGCCTGCTTCCCGTTCTAATATGAAAGCAGAAGAAATACAAAGAAAAGGGCCGGTAAAAGTTGGGAAAAGCAAAGGGCAGGGCTGGAGTGACGGGTGCAGCCACGCCTATCTCCCTTGCGTGGCTGGCCAACTTAAAAGGTAAAAATCAAACTCCCTCCCCTAGAAGATTCGAACTCCGACCCTCATTGATTTCTTCCCTTTGAGTTGCACGCCGAGGACAACCCCGTTTCGCAGGCTGGTCCACGACGTAAGACGTCTGATCCTTCGGGAAGTTGAAGCTACGAAGTCGCCAGAGGAGGGAGCGTGCTTGGGGCTTCGGAAGCGAAGATTCGCGAACAGCGAGCTTCGTGTCTTTCTTCGACAGATCGCAAATAATCGAGACTCCAGCCGGGCACACGTGGCTCGGTGCGTCATTTCTTGGGAAAGTCGCACGTGCATGGGTTCGCATTGAAATACTCAAGTATTCATTCAATTGACTTTACGAGAAGCCACCTGTGATTCGGCAAGGATTCCCATGTTTACCAACTGTCAAGAAAATACGTTCGACTCAACGAGCCGACTGCATCAGCGAGCAGCTTAACGACGGGAGATCGAGATCTCGACGAGTGAAAATTCGATGTAAATTCAGCGCGGAAGAAAGGCACGGGATCTCGAGGCCATCCACGGATGGTCAGGACGCCGCGACGTCACGGCGCCACGACGCCACCGAGAACCACCGACGTTTCTGGGTTAGGAGGCACACTGGCGCCGAGGTCATTACGATTTACCAAAGACTCTTTTTTTGCGCGCCGCGTTGCAGCCGTCCAAAGCTTCAAAGCTTCGTCCTGCTTGGTACTTCCCCTTGGTAGTTCTCCTCTTGCCGCCCTAATCGCTTTGGAGCAAGTAGACGCGTCGAGAGATCAGCCACGGGCTCCCCTTGTCCACGGAGCCTCGCTGCTGCCTTCCTTCCTGAGAATCCTGAGAATCCTGAGAATCCTGAGAATCCTACCTACGTGCCACGTGTTACGAGTGATCCTGCCGCCGAGTCCAGGCGACAGGCCACCAGAGTCTATCAGGCTCTGTCGGCCTCTGTCGGCCTCTGTAGGCCTCTGTCGGCCTGTACTCTCTTTGCAACTGACTGAAAAAGACTGAAGCTTCGCTGGAAAGCATCAACGTAACAATACGTACGAACTGCGTACGAACGGCAGCTGTCGCCAATGTCCAAGTCCCAGACGCTTCGTCGTCAGATAAACCGGAACAGTGTGTGGCTATACATATATAGGCAGATGCTTCCTTCAGATGCTCGGAGGAGGGAATTGAGCAAGGGGAAAGGGCGAAGAAGGAGAAGCAAGAAGCAAAAGTAATCGTTAACTCTCGAATCGTCGGAAGGAAGCGGCGTCCCGTCTAAACGCACGAATTGATCTTGCCAAAAACGGTCCCTCGCATATTCTCTTGCTCCGATGGCTGGCGAGGTGCTGGCCAAAAGCTCATGGTTGGCGGGAGGGACCCGAGAGGGGCTGAGGGAGGCGTACGGTCCTCGGTGTGACGTCACCCGAGCGCCATCTTGCCGGGTGACGTCAGCCCGACGAGCTGCGTAGCTTTACAACTCTGCCCCCTCTCCAGCTCCCTCGCCCCACTTTCTATCCGCAACCCGATCCCTGCGCTTCCCTGCGCTTCCCTGCGCTTCCCTGCGCTCCAAGTACACCTTATGTCCTTGATGGACACTTATATGTACGTGGATAGCTTCGAGTGGCGGCGCCGCAGGCACTTTGACAATTTCTTCCAATATAAATTGATACAGCGGCAGCGCGCGCGCTGTTATCGAGCAGATACTCGCGCGCGCACATGCATGAGCGCGATAAGACTCGATCGTGTGGAGGACGGTAACGGCAGACTGTTAATATTCTTCCGATAATTATGGAAGACTAGAAGGGAAGAGAAGCACCTATCGATTCGAATGCTTACGAAATCTCGACTTTTCTCGAAACTAGAATCAATAAAACATGTTGTGTCCTGCGCAATCACGTTACGCGCTACAGGTACAGGATCCTTTGATGCTTCAGTGATCCAGTGATCCAGTGATCCAGTGATCTAACAGGTCTAGTGGAATTAGCGAATGGCTGTCCAGAAATCGTAACGGTAGGTAGAGGGAGGCAGGGAGGCAGGGAGGCAGGAAAGTACAGCCTGGGAAATAGCCTGGTAGAGCTTGTCTACGTATTGAGATGTGTGTAAACAGGAATCGAGTGACAGGGAGGAGGAATACGCGGTAGAAGAAAAGAGGAAGAAATGTGGAAAATGAGAAAACGATATTCAGGAAAGCCAGACACACACAGTACCTTCGTAATAGCTGCGTATACATAATTACATATATACACCAAGGGAACTAGCCTCAGGTCTATTAGCGCCATGAAAGCCTCCCATTGCGTCACACTGCGCTCTACCCCAACAGTTGCGCATCCGACTCCAGCAACGCGATCCATCGACATTATGTCCTGAAAAAAGGCAGGGCTGCACTGTTGCTGCGATAGGTTTTCTCTGGTCCTTTAATTTCCAGCCTCCCTCGCTACATGCTGATGGATACTTGGCCTAAGCGCTGCACCACGCTGGACGCTGAAGACACGTGAATTCCCGATGCCTGACATTTCGCGACGACCTCTAACCTCCCGAGTCAGGGTGCTTCTTTTGCCTCTATTGGCATCCCCTATGTACATTCTATATTTCTTTCTTGCTTCCCTCTGTCAATTATCTTTAATAACTCTCGCCCTCTCTCTCTCTCTCTCTCTCTCTCTCTCTCTCTCTCTCAGACGGCATCCTTCGTGTGCGAAAATGGAAATCAAAAAAAGTACAGAGTATTTAAAATGAGGAGGAATCTCGAAAGGATTGGCAAGCATGCTGCCGGGCAATTTGCCCGAGTGGACGCCGACGCCGACGCCGACGCCTACTCCAATCGACTCTCGGGAGCCTCCGAACCACGAACCATCTCCACTGACGCAAGTAAAGATATCCCATCCGACTCAGGCGTCCCGACGACCCGACGACCCGACGACCCGGCGTCCCACCGTCCTCGTGCCGACCATCACTGCCGTGGCAGTAGCTACCCTAAATAGGCCGACTACACACGCGAACCAGAGATACGCGCCATCTATCCATCTGCTGGCAGGACTCCCAACGAACGTGGTCGGATGCCCGCCGATCATCCAAGTGCCCCTTCGAACTACGTCACTTTTCAGTAACAACAACAAAAAACCCACGGGAAAATCTTATTATCGACGATCTTCCTGTGGTGGAGAGATTTCCATTATTCCACAGCCTCATCGAGTCCTCGTG